TGCCACCTACACTTGGGAACTTCCTTGTATCTAGAATAGCGTGTGCACTCTCTCCCGTGCTCTTCATGTGATTAGTGCCCTAGAGCACTTAAATTAATATGATTTGCAACAACTTGTATACTTCCTGGTGTCTGTGCTGAAATTCCTCTTTGCAACCCTAAACCTGGGTATTCTTGTTCTGCTCTGTCAATGCATCCAAAAGTATTGTTCCTCGGCTTACTTTCTTAATCCCATTTAAAATTGTGTATACCTCAATATGGCCCCCTCAGGCACATCTCCTTTCAAGAATGAAGAGCCGGAGCTTGTCTAATCGTTGCTCATAGCTTTATTCCTCTAACACTGGGGATCATCCTTGTTGCTCTCCTCTGCATCTCCTCTAGGGCCAGGGTAGCCCTCTTGCATCACGGTAATCGGAACTGTACCTGGTACTCCATGAGAGGCCTAACCAGAGCACTGAACACTTTGATATTAACTAACGCAATTGGCAAAACATATTAAGTCTTTGTTGCATTTGCACGATCTTGTGCCCAGGCGAGACTTTGCAGTATTACTAAATCTATAAGACTTTCTCTGAATTGTTTATAGTTCTCATTTCAGAAAACAAAGTGATTTCTATTTAATATGAGAAAGAATTCAGCTGAGGGTATATTTGGTCTTTGCAGCAACTCATGCCATACCACTAGATGGCAATGTTGTCAATTAATCTGGAGCTCATTGACAATGGTTAGTATTCACTTCCAATGTTCCAAGTTTTTCTATAGTTAATCGTCTTTTTATTTATTATTATTATTCTAATATTATTCTTTAATACCACAATAGCTGGGCTTTCTGCTAATGCTCTCTGTAGTATGTTTACGAAATGAATAAAATGTCAGCCTGTTTCCTGATGCGTGTTTGATTTGTTTCAGCCTAATATATTTCACAAATGACTTTGCTTTCCTTGTTAGACTGACATAATAATAATAACCACTGTGGTGAAAGACAGCCAAGTGACCATTAAAAATCTAGCTACAAGAATATTTCCATCTGTTTGTATGTGTAAATGCTGGGGGTGCACTGCAGTGTCAGATGTCCTGTCGTTTGGATGAAACATTAAACTGAGGTTAAAGATCCCGTGGCACTGTTCGAAAAGAGAAGGGAGTTTCTCCCTCTGTCCTAGCCAACAATTCCCAAGATAAAAAAAAATGGTGTTTCACGTCATGGCTGTTTGTGGTCTGTGCAAATTGGCTTCTGCGTTCGCCTGCAAAATACATTTATTACAATTCACAGTAAATCCTGTAAAGCATTTTGAGATGTTTTAATGATAGGCATTATATCAAATGCAAGTTGTATTATCATTATTATTATTCCTAGTGGACGGTTGTAAAGACTGCATCATCTTGTAAGAATATGGGATCAATGCATAGTTATTTATGTCATTCTTTTAATCATTTTTCAATATTTCTGAGTTTTTTGGAGGGAAGAATATGATTTCTCATGGTTATCTGCATGTGACTAAGATTCTTATGCTGAAAGGTGAGCTAGCCAAACAGTGACCATTGTCATGAGTTGAAAAAATCAGTCATATTTGTGAATAGGTAAACCTCATATGCAATTGATAGTAAATGTAACCTCTGTCTGTACCATATACCAATCGAAAAACAAAGACTCTGTATCTAAGCTGTGAAGAAACTCTACCATGCTTTACGATGTATGTGTCACAACACAGATGTTGGTTAAAGAAATGTAGATTCACTTTGACACACTCTATTAATTATATTAGAGCATACTGGAAAACATTATATAGAAGAGATAAAACAAAGGCAGAATGAGCAAAGTTTTGATGATGTGGAAACTTATTTTTTACATCATCATGAGGCATGTAAGAGAGAAGGTCAGTAATATTGGAATGGAAATGTAGATCTGTGTAAAATAAGTTTGTCATAAAAGCTTTGATATCTGCCATAACTTTTACGCGGGAGCACGGCTATATTTCATCAGGCTGGGGAACAGGTATCATTAATTTTTATAGCTGGGAATATGTGGCTGAAATTCTATACTCTTGAAATCATCTCACTTTACACTGCTACATTAATAGGAATGGAGAGGGTGAACTTGTGACTATTTCAGCAGTTATCTGCATAGCTCGCCAATGCGGGATCTTGCAGAAATAATTTGACCGCAGAAGAGATTGAGAGAGAGAGAGAGACAGCGAGAAAGAAAGATGAACCAAATTGCAAACCTAGCATAAATCTGATGTTTTCACAAATGAATGACATAATTTTCCAACTAATCTCTATTCTATAATAACGAACCACCATTATGGCAATGAGCAGTCTATGGTATGTGAATTAAAGATGACTGTATAAATATTTTTCAAAATGTGTGCAAGGAGAGGGAGGGAAATGCCATCCTTGTGTTACTTGTGGTACAGTATATATCCATTTCTCTGGCAGTTTGTTGGCTGAGGTATTGAATCCTTTGTGCTATTGCAACACAACATGCATCATTTGCCCTGGCAGGATCAAATCCCTGGCAGTGTAATAGTGAAGTATGCATCTGTGTTCCTGGCAGTCTTGTTAAGTTGATCATTCTGTGGGGATCGTAAAAGGGGCTGAGTTTGCATTCACGCCCTGGTAATGTAGAAGTTAGTTTGCGTCCACTTTCCCGTTGGAATTGCTCGGGATGAATTGCGTCTGTTTGTAGACAATTTAGGGAAAGAGTTGAATGCTAGATTTTAGTATTGGAATGGCTCTTGGCTTTGGCTTCACAAATGCCCAAATTTGGGCATATGCACTGAATTTGGATGAACATCAAATTAACGCATTGCATATGTTTAGGAATTAGTAACTTCAGGAAATCCTTCCAGGTTTATTAGAGCAGAGCATTGTCTCCTGTGGGGGAAAATAAAGCTACCTTGCGCGCTTCTAATACAGATTTCTGCCTGTTTTAACCATTTATCTAGTTGAATTGGAAAATTAAATTATCCAGTTACAAGACTAGTTGCAAGAGATGGCAATGGAAATGTTCTCTTACACATGTTCCAGAATTTATCAAAACAAGTCTACATTGATGTATTCTCCAATATAATGTTTCTATAAGGCAGCTGGAATTTTCCTTTGGCTAAAAGTATAGGACACGCTGATGTTAAATCATTCCTATGTTCCTATTCCCTACTGTGCACTGTATATCATTGCTAGAGCTTCAGCAAAGTATTACTGAATTATCTACCATTATCCCAGGTTTACAATGAATGTATTAATATTTTTTCAATACACATCTCTCGAAGCAGTGAATCATACCATTTGTGGTCTCCGGCCAGCATTAATTAAAATAGCTAACACTCAATGGAGGAACATATTTTTAAACAGATTAAACTGACTAACTAACGCCCTCCTCGTGTATCCACTATGTTCATCGCAGAACAAAGTGGAGTGTGTAGACAGACAGGACTTGAGAGAAAAGGCCAATCAATAGCAAGAGCCGAAGAAGTATTACGGCAAGAAGGTGCAAGCATGAGTGGTGTTTACTTCAGTAGATCTACCTTGAATAATCCAGGTAATATGAAAATAAAGAACACAACATTCAATTACCAGAACCACTGGTGTCAGTCAGAAAAATGAGCAGTGGCACAGCAGTGTTAAGCAAGTGCCTGCTTATAGGCAGTAGCCATTTACTATACAACCGCCTGATTGAATACCATTACCCTGCTGTACCATGTACTATCTATTACTCCTCACTCACAAAGTAACAATGAAGAATGTTCCACTTTTATGGCATCAGACTGTAACCTTGGTGTAAGAGTAGGGCAAAGCTGTTCTCAGTGTTGGTTGTAAGACATACTGTACAGTGACTGTACAGAAGCAGAGTTTGGTTACTCCAGTAGCCGTGTTGCGATGAGCACCAATGGAAAATCGTGCATCAAATAAAGAGCGCTTGAACCTCTGTGTTATCTCTTTGCATTAAAAAAAAGGGGAAGAGAAACAGTCATCTTGATAGGGACAGGAATTCATATTTTAAGTTGCAATTGTTTCGCCTTTTGTTTTGTGGAATCACCAGGTGTTAGTAATGCAACTGCCCTTCAGCAATAATCTGTTACTAAATGTTGTTAACCCAGAACATAAAAAGACCAACCCAAGCATTTTCCACACCCTCAACTGCTAAGCCTCAACCCTACTGATAACTATTACCTTCACTCATATAGTTTGAACTTCTAATATTTTCTAAATGTTGATGTAAAAATACACAACAACAACAAGATTACATTTGTATAGCGCCTTTCACGTCGGGAGGACGTCCCAAGGCTGGGTTTCCCTACCCTACTACGCTTATGCGCACTCAGACAGTATTTCTGTTCATTTTTTAAAAAAGAGTAACCGATTGGCTTGTTCGGAGTTTCTAAGGCTGATTGTGCGGTGTGAGGGAGATTAATTAACACACGCAGCTGAAGTGACACAGACGCTGAAGCACCCTGGGTTAATGACTGTATCTGTTGATGTTAATTCAGCTGCCTCACGCTGGCTGGGTTCAACTGTGTCGTCAGCAATTCAGTTCAAAGAAAAAAAATATACAAAAAAAAGGAGGAAAAAAAATCAAACGTAAATCAAAACTCGGAAGTCGGATCAGGAGAATCACAAAGTGATCGATGATAATTTTGGCAGCTTTATATATATATATGTTTAACAAGGGTTGTGAGCCTTAATCCTTCAGAGTACACTTTGTAGTTTGTTTTGTGTGCTGATAGATCCATTTCGAACATGAGCTCAGCCATACCTGACAATGATTGATAATGGACCTGAAGTTCTAATTATCTACTGAGATCTATCAGTTAATAACTGCATGTTTGTTTTTTAAGAATTTTACGAATGTGTTTTCCTTTATGTTCTCTGAGGTTTACATTCAGAAAGGCCCTTTTATTCACGCTGCTGAAGGTAACCTCTGCAAGTCCCAAGTTTCCCTTCAAGGAATCGGTAATTCTTTCCCCAGGTACTATATTAAACAATCTGGAAAGCATAAGGTTCAGACACACGGCTGCTGTTGCTTTATTTATTCAAACGGTATTCATGAATATCCATACGACGGTGATAAATTTGTACCAATTAGTTTGTACAGAATTAACATGTGCGTTTTCATTTTTCAAGATTACATGACAAGGTCCACTGTAGACTGGAACTTAAATCATTATGTCACGGACGTCCTAATTCTTTGAATAAAACAGCTGATCATTAAAAATCTTGGGTGGCCTAAATGATGGCTGTTGTTGCTGAGAACAACGTAATTGTGAAATGGCATTTTCTTGGCAACCATTGTGGTACATATACATCTTTTTCTCAATGTTTTTGCATCATACGCTAATGATGTGTGTGCAACCATAATTCCTTTTTTCGATGTTGATACTGGGTGTGTTTCTGTAACATTAACGTGAGGATATCAAGCCCCAAAAATGTACAGTCAATTCACTTTGCAGCATATTCTGTGAAGCGCTTTGAGATGTGTTAACAATATGATAAGGCACTATATCAAATGCAAGGATTATTATTATATCTTTTGGTCTTCTGCTCATAGACGTTTATCCAATGCAACCTCTTTCCTCCCTTCAGCCAGGAGAAATCGGCACTCCATCTTGACCTCCAGTGCCAGAATCAATCTGTGCAAAGCCAAAAAAAATTAAAAATAATAAATAAGTCTTTCATTTGTTATAGTGCCTTATCACATCTTGGAATAGAATATACTATAGAATATATTGTTTGTTTTAGGGTGTCAGCTTTCTCCTCACAGTGTTGTGATGTTCTCTCACCTGGATGCAAAAATGACAATTCTACATTATTGAATAATTACATTCATGTTATGCAGCACTGCACAGCTGAAGATTAATCTCTAGTGTATGGCACCGAAGGTGGAATGCACAGATATTAATCCAAACACACGTAGCAGAAAAATGAGTGTCTCGTGCTGAATAACATCTTTATTTGGTATCCTTTTCCTTGGTGATGAATGAAGCTTTTTTTAATGCATTTCATTCATAACTAATAGCAGACATTTGTTTTCCTTGAAATGCAAGTGGTAGCAACCGGTGTCAGTCCACACAATTACTTTCTATGATCCTTGACCTGCGTGGGTTATGAACTGAGATGTGCCAAGCTGTGAGGTAGCCTGACCACTGAACATAGATATTGTGTGTCAGCCATTGCAAAGGTAAGAACTTGTGGCTGAAGCAATAATTCAACTACAGCTTCAAACATATGTGTAGCATTTGCAAGTGAGAGACCTGAGTTCAATTCCAGGCAGAGGGTGAAACCTTGGGCAAGTTTCCTTACTCCACACAGAGCCTAATAATAATCCCTCCAAAACCAAAAACAATAATAAATTGGTCATTTTCAATCTACGACTGTTTGTGGGACATTGCTGTGCGCAATTGGCTGCCGCGTTCGCCCACAAATATACAGTCAATTCACTTTACAGTGTGTTCTGTGAAGCGCTTTGGGACGTCCTCCCGACGTGAAAAGCGCTATATCAAGTGCAAGGATTATTATTAATATTATTAACACACTCACCCGCACACTCACCCGCACACTCACCACGCACTCACCTAAACACTCACCCACACATACTCTCACATACACTCTGACACAGACAGACTCACACATATTTTCATGACATTTTTTTGTAGCATATATCTTGCGAGACCTACAATTGAATTTCTGCTCTAAAACAGAATACCTTCATAATACAAATTTTCCATTGAAATCCTCCAAGGTCCTTTAATAACAATGAAAGGACAAATGAATGTAATTTCAAAATGCTATTACTTACATTTTGATGAATCAACTACCTTTTCTTTTACAACTTACAACACATAATTTCAAAAAGGCATTGTGATTTATCTCTGTAATATACTAATAATCAGATTCCTTTGTTTCTTCCTGATAATTATTGCATCCACCAACATCACATCTTGATGATCTCAGCAAAAGCAGTATTGAATTTCAGTGGCTGCTGATGAAATGGGTCCTTTTCTCATTTTATTTTATTTCAAATTGAAAGCGTACAATCTATATGTCACCTATCATTTGTTCGCACGGAGAGACTGTGGTAGGTGGATTGTAAATGGCTTGGCTAACCTTTCCTTGTAATAGAGGTAATCCCATTCAAATGTTTTACAGAACCATGGCTGTAGTATTTTAGCTGAGTCTTTCATTCTGAAGGTACAAATAAAACCTTTAAGAACAATTTCTCAATAACAGATGAGAGCTCTGTTCAACTCAAATCGCGAATGTCTTGTTAAGTAAGGTGCTGTTTCGCATTCTGTCATTAATTTCATCAACTGGAGTAGTCCGAGGCTACCTAACAGCTGGTCTCCAGTCTCCTTGTTAACTAAATGTGGGCACACTAATTATTCTATTGTATGATGCAAGATAATTGGCTCATTGCCAAACCATAACCTCTAGCTGTTGGTATGTTGCCATCACAATATGTTCAACTGTGCTAGTACAGCCAGGCCTGGACTGGCTAAAGATATAGCAGTAATCAGAAGCAGTGCCTCCCTGTGATAGATGAAGTGTCAGTGATGTATGTGGACGACATCCTAAGCGGCATTCCCATAATGAAGAAAAGTTGTTACACCTGTCTGGCTAGTCTGTGCAATATTCCATCCTGCAACAGCTTTATATTCTTGACAGTACGGCAGCAACCTCCTGGAGTTTATATTGTGCTGGAAGATAAAGTGCAAGAACCCAACAGACAACCTCCAAACCTAGTTATAAGGTCCTAAGAACCATGATCCATCAAATCCCATTTTATTAATAGTTGTGTCGGTAAACAATCTTGCTATCTCTTCGTGGTTGAGCTCACATAGAAAATAACAATAGCTTCCACTTTCTCTGTATCCAAGGATGCATTTTAGTCTATCTTTGTTAAAACATAATCCACTGTTACACATTACAAACCATGCCAGTTTTACTTTTAGACAAAGTATTGCAGATGCTGGAAATCTGAAATAGAAATAGAAGTGATGAAAGGTTATCGACCTGATAACGTTAACTAACTTTCCTTTCTCCACGGATGCTGCCTGACTTGCTGACTTCTGTTTTCACTTTTGTTTAGTCAAGTGATGTGGAATATAATCCTTGGTTAGACTCAACAGTATGAATTATGGAAAAGTGTAAATGTACATTCATATTATTTTATATTATCTGTCTTCTACGTGCACAGGAACAACATAACAATATCAGAGGCCCGCATAAGGTAAATTATGTGTCATTTATTTAACCGCAGAATGATGAAAAATGTGTGTTTGATTTCTGCCTTTAACATTCTGGAATTCCAAAATTTTAAATACGTTTTGGGGGGATTTTTTGTCTTGTTGAATTTGGGATGGTCATACCTTGCCAAAGATATTACTTTGAAAGGATTTAACACCAAATCTTTACCATGTGCAGATGGCACCCATGGAACTCTCAGTTTGGTTTGGAAACTCTTAAACTTGGAGGTGGGTTTTTGCATGGTTTTTGCATGTGTCAGACAACTGGCTGACCGAAAGTCCCCCCCACCAAATCTATTATTTTTACAGCACAAGAGAAGTTACATTGATGAACATAATGGGATTAACCAGACATATGATAATACTTCCACACAACATGAAACATTATTAATCCTTATGCCTCCTGCCCATTCTACGCGTAACTTTTCTGAGCTAATAAAGTGGCCATAAACAATAATTGACTGTTCTGAGCAAATTGGGCCGAAAAACGTGACTTTTTTCATTATCAGGTTCAGTATGATAATTATCATATCTTTACTTTGTACAAAGAAGAGAAATACGAGTAACAAAGAAGCATTTTGTATGTTGTAGTAATGTTTGAAGAAAATAGAGTTACATTTGGATCATCTTTTCTGTTTATAATCTAAACCTTTCATCTTTGAATTTCACTCCCTCTCCACACCCCCACCCCCCACCCCCCACACACATACACTTCCAGCCTCTCACTGTGCTATGCCTTACAACATAAAACAGTATATGTGCTACAGTATTCTGTTTGCTCGATTTGGAAACCTGAATGTGGTTGTTCAAGGTTTTGTATGAGTATGTAGAGGAGTATTTCCAACTCAAAGTCTTCCACCATATGTTGAGAATTAGAACATTAAAAGGCCAATTTATTCATATTGAAGACAAGAATGGACATTTGTGTATACTTCTTTCACAGAATGTTAACATCTTCGGGTAAGTAGCAAAGTTGCACTGTGTTTTGTACCAAATCAGTCGCAGGTTATTATTACCAATATGGCAAATCTCAGGTTCTACCTGGTATTTCTGCAGCTGTCCTGATTGGCTGATCATATCTCTTTGACTATAATGTTTGTCAGAAAAAAAACTTCTGGGCTCGTTGATAACAAAATGCAAAATTGTTACATCGCAGGAAGAGATCCTTTTGAAAATATATGAACGTTTGGAAATAAGCCTTTTTATCTTTCGATAAATTAATGCAACGTGATTTCTTGTAGTGGTTCAGGCTTATTGCTCGTGAAGTGGGCTTGTGGGTGACAAAATGCAAATTTATCGCATCACAAGAAGAAATCCTAATAAGAGGTACTAAGAGATCTTAGTAAGAAGTATTCAATGCAATAAACTAGCACTGATCAAAAGGAACCGACTTGGTTTGGAAGTGTGTTTATTCTTAGAGTTGAACATATTTATACAACTGGAAATATTTACAAGTATGCAGCCTTGTACTAATAATGATTCTTACATTTGGTATAGTGCCATTCGCATCAGGAAGACATCTTAAAGTGTTTCAAGGTATATATTGCAAAGTGTAGGTGAACATGGCAGCCCATTTGTGCACAGCAGTGTCTCACAAACAGCCATGGAGTGATGGACCAATTTTATTTGGGGGATTGTTAATCAGGACTCTGGAAGAGAGAGAGAAACTCCCTCTTCTTTTCAGGATCGCCAGAGTCCACCAAACACAATTCTTTTTATGTTATCCCTGCCGAAATGTGACTAGTTATTTCAAATGTTTTAGGTAAAAGTAAGCATTTGTTTTGTATATCATTTATTTAAAAAAATGGCTCTGTAAGCTTGTTATCTGACTATACCTAAATTCTGCAGGAGGGAGACGATATCCTGTCACTGTCTGATTGCAGTAACTTCTTTTTTATATAAAAAAAACTGTAACCGAGCTTATCAGGCAGTGAAGATGGGAGGTGTGAAATTCAGTAGTTATAGGCAATCATTCATGGCAACATCAAAACCTGGACAGTCTCATCATGGATAGTAAATAATCCAGGTCATGTCCTTGATGGGTGACATATTACAGCGCCTGTATCTCCAGAGACTATAAAGAATACAGGAAAAATAATTACCTATAAACTGGCCATTTGATGATCGCATCCTTTTCTACTGGTGGTGCGGTTTTAAAAACACCAAGCGCTTGAAAGTATCGGTCATATCCTTCAGAGACTATGCTTTTTTTTAAACTGTGTGTCAACAGAACACAAAAAAATAAGTAAATGAATGACCTGTCACTTTTATGCTGTGATTTATAAAGGATACTTATCTATTATATGCACAGTTGTTATATGTGCAAGAAATCTTTCAGTTACAGGTATTGAAGTAGCGCAAAAAGTGTGATGCAAAGCCAATGCACA